TTGTGATAGCCTTAAAATATATTTTTATCTTTATTTATAAATCTTAAAGCTTCAAAAATTGTGTAGATCGACAAATCTATGAAAACTTGAAAATTTTGAAAATTGATGGTCAAAAAATGTATTACAAAATACATTATTTCCATAACTTAAAATCAATTTTTTACTCATGTTTATGCATCTTGATGTTGAGATGATCAATTTGAGGATTTTTGGGCATCAAAACAATCTTGTCTAGTGAAATTTTTGATGTAGGCTTGAATGTGATTGTTTAGAGCCTCGGCTCTATATAAACTTTTTCCTTAACTAAATATTCATTGTCAATTACTTGTCCGTTGCTCCCTATTTGCTTAATCATTTTGGGGATGATGATGATGATAATAATGAACAGCTTTAATTAAAGGGAGATGTTTCTATACTTCCCTTACAACATCGAAGATCTATGTTTCCCCTACCATCCAACCGTCCAATTTTGGTCAAGAGACTCACCATTTGATCTTAGATCTGACATCTCAAAGTATTTTATTTCTAGTTTTTCTTATACAAATTGTATGAATATGAAATTTGGTATATGCTATCTCCTCATTGGGGCACACCTATAAAAATATTAAAACTATTTTTTCTATAAAATATAATAACCAAAATACCCCTTGAAACTTTCATGGGTATTTTGATCATTTTATTTTATTGAAAATATTTTTTTATATTTTTCTCTAGTGCGAGTTTAATGGAGGATTGGACATCCAAATTTTGGTATAAAAATAGTTTATAAAAAAATTTTAAAAATAAAATAATATAGAGACGTGACATTGTGATTGGGACAATCTTAACCCTCCATTCAAAATGAACAGTTGGATAAGGAGAAGTATATGAGTTTTACGTTACAGGGAAAATATATAAAGCTTGTCCTTAACTAAATACTCATTGACAAGTAAGTCAATTACTTGTCAGTTGCTCCCCATTTGCTTAACTGATATTTTTAAAACTCTTTCTAGGTAAATGAAATGCTTATTTTCAAATTCAAATCGCTAATTTTGTTTTGATACTACATAGAAATTGTTATCACTACATGTTTTGATTGTGATAATATTGAAACCCCCTAAATTACATGATAAATTCATTTTACCAATATACATTGGAGTTATAATCAACAACAAAATTTTTCTCCATAGAATTGATAATTAATTTATTAGAGATAATTATCACCAAGGGCAGAATCACCCGAAAAAAAATTTATTTATAAATTACTGACAAAAGTTTCACTTATTTTTGCATATTCAAAACTCATAGGTAAATAAATTCCTACGAAACACTTAATGTCCAATACCAATTTGACATCCACCACGTGAAAATGTTATTTTTCTAAGATCTATTTTGGAGTATTTATGTCCTCAAATAGAACCCTGTCTAGTAGTATTTTATATCTTTCAGTTTTGGAATGCAACATTCTCAACATATAAAAAGCCCAAAAAAAAAAAAATCCAAAAATATGCCCAAGAAAACAATGTCCTAAAATTGCGTTGAGTGCAATGTTGTCATATTCACTTTAGAGACTTCTTCGGTTTGGTGAAAAAAATAATGCATTTTGGTATTGCGGTGTATTTAGGATAGACTTCGGACTTTTTTTAAAATTTAGTATAAATAAATTAAATATTTATATATAAAATATATACAAATAATGAACATAAAATAAAATGCTAGCCAAAGCAGACCCGAACCAAACCCAAAGGTTCCGAAATTGACCGAAGCATCTCGAAGCGGTTCGAATCTGACCGAAGCAGCAGCACCATGCTTTGCTTCTCTTTGGTTCACTGAAGGCTTCGGCCTTTTGGCCAAAGCGAAGCAAATTTGATAACATTGGTCGAATGTCCAATTGTTTGGATGGTTTGATATAGGTATTTAAACAGTTATTTTTTTTTCATTTTTGAAAAAACTTGTCTACTTATTTTATTTGGAATTATATACTACAAGGTCATTTATCTTTGTTACAAGGAGTTCACAACTATTCATAACTATTAGATGTCACATTGAATGGCTTGGGGTGTGAAGTTGGAGGATTTTTAATTTGTTTTTTTTAACTTTAAGTCTAATCAATGACACATTAACAACTACCTAATCGAATTTTAATAGAAAACAATAATTGTGTCATCCTTGTACTAAAAGTAAATAGTTTCTTTTTATACTTTATATATTATAAAGGGAAAAGTTTCTATATTTCCTTTACAGCATAGAAGATCTATGCTTCCCCTACCATCTAGCCATCCAATTTTGATCAAGAGAGCCACTCACCGTTTGATCTTAGATCCAATGTCTCAAAATATTTTATTTTTAGTTTTTTTATACAAATTTTATGAATATGAAATTTGGTATGTTCCATCTTCTTATTGGGGCGCACCTATAAAAAATATTAAAAATAAATTTTCGATAAAATATAAGAACCAAAATACCCCTTTAAACTTTTAGGGGTATTTTAGTCATTTTATATTATTTGAAATATTTTTTATATATTTATTGCTAGTGCGATTTTAATAGAGGATTGGACGTACAAAATTCGGTTTTAAAATAGTTTATAAAAACAAAATTAAAAATAAAATAGTCTAGAGACATGAGATTGTAATTGAGACAATCTTAGCCTTCCATTCAGAATGGAAGGTTCGATAAGGGGAAATATATAATTTTTATGTTGCAGGCGTTGCCCTACTCTGAATTGGGGTCCCAATATTTTGGTTGTGGGTTGCTTAGAATGTAGTCTTTTAATATTATAATAAATATTGAGGCAAGATTAGAGCATCCGGTCAAGATGGCCGAGTTGGTCTAAGGCGCCAGTTTCAGGTACTGGTCCGAAAGGGCATGGGTTCGAATCCCATTCTTGACATTTGCATCTGAGTTCACATGTATAATGAATTATTTTTTGAATCTTGTTTTGTAAATTAAAATGAATGTAGTATTCATCATCATCATAGGGTGATAAAAATTCATGATTGAAGTTAAAATTTGTATGTGTTGTTCATTAATTGGAAAAGAAATCCTTTGATATCTCAAATTCATCCATATGAAACAACTTATTAATTTATTAGAACATTGGGACAACTTATTTTTTAAACATACCATTTATTTTTTGTACAAAGATATTACAATCACTTTTGACTATTGAATGTAAAATCCATTATATGAAATTATATAACAACATTTATGAAATTTTGCTTTGGACTTTGTGTCCAAATAATGACATACCATCAACTACCCGATCTCAAACAAATCTAACAATCGATGATATTGTGACCTCCTTGTATCAAAAGTAAATGGTCTCATTATATACATTTTCAAAACAAAAATAAAAAATTTTAGTTCTTCTATTACTTAAAATAACAACTTATAAATATTCCAAAAGAAAAAAAAGAAGTCTTAATCCCATACATCCAAGGAAATTATAAGTAGATGGGCAAGCAAAACTTGTTTAATACGATCCTAGTGTGTATGGATTTTCTACTATGTAAAGATAATTAAATATTTGAAGGACCTCGCTAAATCTGGCAATTTAAAAACTGCTAACTTGGGATCAAACTCTAAGCAGGTCACCTGCAGGGTACACATAACTGGCTCGGCCAAGTTAGAAGGAAAATGGTTTGATAGGGCTACAGCCCTATTAAAATAAATAAAGCCTCACCTTATAACTCATCGAAAATTACTCAAGTATTGGAAAACATTTACATCGATTATCTTGGCTTGAACATTTTGGTTGTGAAAAAAATTAGGATTATAAGCTTTAAAAATAGTGTATATTGTAACAAATTATCTAAATCGTTTATATTACCCTAAAAATAGGTGTTCATGGATCAGCAAGATATGTACCATTTTTTTTGTTTCAAATTTTATTGTCGGTGTTGGAAATTGACTTTATATGTATCATGGAGATTTCCATTGCCGAAAGTGCTATCTAGATGAGGATTTAAAGTGAGGTTTTATTTTGTTTTCATAAATTCTAGGCTTCATAGAACATGATTGTATACAATGAGACCGTTTATCTTTTGTATAGAAATTTCATCCTGTTAGAATCCAATCGGGACTTGAAATGAAATCCATAGCTTTAACGGTCGGAAATGTCACAAATTTCTATTTTGCAATCACATTATGTAGATGCTGCATATTTCTTAGTTTTAAATTCACATGCTAGCAATGACTTAAAAGCGATTATTACTCAATTTGTTTGAAATAACTCTATCTGGCATGCAATAATGTAACGTGCCCGTCTAGCTCAGTTGGTAGAGCGCAAGGCTCTTAACCTTGTGGTCGTGGGTTCGAACCCCACGGTGGGCGGGAAAGCTTTTATAATTTACACCGCGAAATTTTATTTATAAACTTTAGTCCCTAAAAAAAGTGGAAAGAGCATATAAAGGCCCCAATCATTATAAAAACTTGCCCAAAAAGGGCATGTTTTGAATTTGAATTCAATAGTTAGAAAATGAATACATTGATAGTATCCTTGCACGGCAAAATTTTATTTATAAACTTTAGCCCCTAAAAAAAGTGGAAAGAGCATATAAAGGCCCCAATTATTATAAAAACTTGCCCAAAAAGGGCATGTTTTGAATTTGAATTCCATAGTTAGCAAATGAATACATCAATAGTATCTTTTTGTTTACTTTCCGTCCCTCTGCATCTAAAATAAATATAGTGATAAACCTTCCCTCACTTTATCTAGTTAGATAATGTTTTGAATTCCTGTAAAAATTTATTATACGAATCATGATCCGTCATTGTGCTCTATTAAAAATCATACTATCAATTAAACTATAAACCCTCATATATTTCCTCACGATACCATAAACCCTCATATATTTTCTCACTACTTCTAATCATGTCTTTTTGAATCCATCCCTTATTCTTGATTAGCCTTCTACTTGAACTAATTCACACTATTAGAAACAACCAAATACCAATATACCAGGCCAGGTTATACATAGACGCATAAATGATTTATAAACCTAACCCAAGAAAGCATGTTTTAAACCCAGTAGATTGAAAATTAATAAATCAATAACAAACGTCTCCAATATTTTCTCACATTATTACTCGTGTATTTTCTAAATAGAGATTTCCTCTCTACAAAGGATCAACTACAAATATGGCCACCCTGAATGCAAGGGGTCTTGCTCCTATGATCAAAACTCAGAGCAGGTAAAATTCATGTTATACATATATTAATTCCAAATTTTATCCGAATCTCTCTTCTTTTCTCTTGCCTAGTTTATTAAACCCTCTCATGAACCCAAATAATAGCCCTTTACTAATCAAACCTCTATCAAGCCCACAAACAACCACTATCACTCCACCCACAATCAACCATTTCACCACATTCTTTCTTTCTTTAGGTCTCTCGTACTCTCGAACCTCTCCATCTCTCCCAATTTCATCAAGTGCGTCCTTCAAATTAGTGGAGAGCCCATCTGCCGAAATCTTCGTATTAATTCGAGCCATTAGAGCATATCTCGATGGAGAAGCTCCAGTGGCTTGTGCCACCCGGTACGCTTGAACCCCAGCTTCCATTTTCCTGACAAGACCCCACATTGCCCTTCCGATCCCGATCTTGGCGAGCTCTTTGGGGATCCCCATGTCTTCATAATGGAAGAGCAGAACCTCAGAAGCTGTCAATTGTCCATCACCTTTTCTTGATTTCACTGGTCAGAGAATTAGAAGAGTAATGGAATTTAGGGGAAAGAAGATTATGAGGAGTAAAAAGATCACAATTAAATATACCTGCCCTTATTCGCCAGCTCGAGTAGTAGAGGTCAACCCGCCTCGGCTTTCTAAGTCTTGGTAATGAACGATACGGCGTGCTCTGAAACAATTGTGCACAAGTATCAGTAATTGATATTAAGTAAGACAGGCAATCAAGCATCTTTTGCTCCCCCAGAAGTATGTATGTTTCCTATTTTGGAAGTTATTCCAAAGGGCCGCACATGAAAAGAGTCTGCGGTCTTTGGACATTAATATTTGAGTATTCTTCCACATAATTAAACCCAGTGGACACCTCCCCTATTTTAAGGATGGCATAAGCAATCTAGATAATCGGCTTGAACCTGTGTTTTCTCTAGAACTGAGCCTCACGCTCAAAACAAAAGCCATGGATCTCCCACCACCAACAATCCACAACCAATGTTTGAATTTTCATAATCAGATTGAGAAAGCAGAGAATTCCATCCATGCTCTACTTATAACCTTAACTGCTTGCACAGTCTCTTATCTAATTCACGAGTCATTGGTTAGGATTAGCACCGTCACGTCATTGAAACAAAGAAAAAACGTATTCCAAATACAATGAACATATTCCAAATACCATGAACCAGAGCAGTTCAGCATTTAGGATATAACTTCTTCCCCCACCCATCCAACCTTTTTCTTTTGGGCAGTTGTATTCGTAATTTTTCCTTTTTTATATGAGTAATTTCTAGCTATATATTTGGCTGCCATTCTCATTCTACAACCAGTGGTATACAAACACTGTTCTGTACATGCAAAGCTCGCAAAAAAGAAGACATGGTTGACGCCATTGAAGCACAACCTCACATAGGCTTCTAAACAACATAGAACATTAACTCACCAAAAGCCAATTTACATTGCAGTTGGTCCTTAAAGAAATCCAGAAACACTAAAAATCATACCTTTGTTAGACAATAGTATGTCCTTCCATATTCCCAGATTCGACGGTTTATAATGTATTCTCGGTCACTACAGAAAAAAGGAAACTGCAAAGAGGAAAAGGAAGAAAGTCTAAGAGAGAGATTATCGAAAAAAAACACAACAGAGCATACCCTAAAAATATATATTTCCAGCACACCTTTCTAATCCAATGGATGGTCATGGTTCCTGTCTGAGGGCATTCTTGTAAAATCTTGAAGTAAAAAAGCATGTCATCCCACTCTGTTCGAAATTCGTCATCCCAAAAGAAATCTCGAATCAGCTCAGGTGTCACATTCTCTATGATTGTCCTTGACCGGTATTGCGTAGGGCCAAACTGAAGCACATAAAACAGCACACAAGCATGAAAAACCAAAATGAAACAATGAAATAATATGGAAAAGTGAACAATGGCACACAGACAATGACTGAAGAAAGTAATACGTTATCCATGGACACAAAAGAACTACTTCCTGAGATGTAAACTGGAAATATCATAAGTGATACAACTGAATTATCAGAAGAGAAAATAAGATAAATTTGAACAGTAAAAGAATGATTGAATGAAAGAGAGTGAAAATATTCCGTGACATCAGCAATCTGAAAAATTTCAACTCAGTGAACTACATATAATAAGTTCTTTTAAGGTACAGCTCGATGTAATAAGTGTTAAGAAAATTTTAAAAACCTAAAACTAGGTATTCAATTCAACAGTACTGAATTATTAGAGACTTACATGTGATGGAATTATCAGATTTCATGTAAGAATACACATACACCATAGCACCCACCTACAATAAATACTATCTTATAGGCCATTATCTGGAAGTTCACACCATAACCCATTAACTAGTTTCATATTCTTATATACAAATTTATCATTATGACAATGTGATGGTCAACCCTTTGGCACCATAGGAACTTACACAAAATAATAGATGAAATTACAGGCCCAACTGGTTAATATATAAGTAAAGATAAAACAAATCCAGGAATGCAACTCATTAGATTTTCCTCAAACTAATATGGCACAATAATTCCCAGCATCAAAACTAATGCTCATCCACAACTCCCTCAACAACCCAAGCTGCTAATATACTAGAAATGTTGAGATTCCTCCTCCATTTCATATCCAATATCGTAAAACACCCTTTCGGCTAATAATTCTCCATCACACTCTCAACTTCTCACCACACCAAAAAGTGGTCCTTTGCTAACTTATATACCATACTCACTTGGCAGTTGGCACTTTATTAATTACCAATGTCGGAAAATGCCAAGGCTGCATCGAGTCCTCAATACAATTAAAGAGAGGTAGGTAACTGGCAAATTGAGATATTTCACTTGACGTGTATATTTCACTTGAAGTGGGCTCAGGCCAGCCGGGCCAGACCCCACTAGGACCAAGTACCTGGCTTGTCAAGCTGGCTCTGGCCTAGGACCTTGACCCAAACATGCCTGGACCCAGGGGCCTCAGCTCAATGGGGCATACAAGCCTGGCAAAATTTTCGACCATTGTCAGGTTTAAGCTGGTTGTGAAGCACCAATGGCATCAGCAAAACCCCACAATCCAGGGCGTGTTAGGTGTTAAACTGTGACCACTAATAAATGGGCATTCAAATGGATTGTGAGTTAATAAAGTCAGTAATGAGCTCCTTGATGATTAGACAGTGAGAGAAAAGGGATAAAAATAAGTAATCACGTCATTAGCAGCAAAAAGA